AAAAAGAAATAGACTAGCGCCGGGATCTGTTGACAGCTTGCTGTTCTTAAATCCATATTATAAAAACTATAGTTAATGCTTGAAAGTTTGAAAACTGTAAGATGTATTTACATATGTATGAAATTACCGTTTATTTTTTTTAATCGACTCAAAAAAGGGGCGGTTATCAATTCGACAGAATATATTTTTTTATGTACACAGAAAGAATTACTCACCTTATTTTGACCAGTTTTGGCTATATTTATTTGTTTATTTAATGTTTAATATCTTTTTATAAAAGTCTAGCTCGTTATACAGCAAACACCATATAAAAAAAAGTAAAAAGTTTGAAAGCTAGCTTTATTTATTTATAAGTAATTTTAAGAGTGATAAATAGCATGGAATGCTTTATTAATAACTTTTTTATGTAGTTAAATTGAAATGTTTTTTTTTTACAAAGTCTAATATAATAAAAAGTACAGTTATGTACAATAAATGTTTTCTGTTTATTATTATTTATATATAAAAACCGAAATTAAAACAATTTTCTTTATTTTCAATACGTGATGGTAAGTAGGTATATCTGTGNTTTATTTATTTATAAGTAATTTTAAGAGTGATAAATAGCATGGAATGCTTTATTAATAACTTTTTTATGTAGTTAAATTGAAATGTTTTTTTTTTACAAAGTCTAATATAATAAAAAGTACAGTTATGTACAATAAATGTTTTCTGTTTATTATTATTTATATATAAAAACCGAAATTAAAACAATTTTCTTTATTTTCAATNATACGTGATGGTAAGTGGGTATATCTGGGTTCGTATTGAACAGTAGCTTATGTCGGGAAGCTGACTTTAGTATAATGCGGCATTCTCTTTATTCTTTAAATGACAAGGAATTTTTTGATGAGACCTAATAAGAATATTGTCTTGCAAGTATCAGTACTATTTCTTGCGCATTTATTTGCCAAAAGTTCTTCAACGGCTCGGCGCCGATGAGTCATTCGCAATCGTATGCTGCGAATGCCGCATTATACTAAAGCCAGCCTTTTGACATAAGCTATTATTCCATACGAACACAGATATACATATGTACATACATACATATATTGTAAAAAATTACACACTTAAATACGGTTTTATTCTCCGTATTCGCCTCTGATTTTTAATTGGGTTTTCTGTTAAGGTCGATACGCTCATATCTACAAATATTAAAATTTGCATTTTAAAATGCTTCTTTCCTAGGGTAAAAAATCCTTATTTCAATATTATAGTTTGTTTAAGTGTACATTTTACCATTTCTTATATTTTTGCTCAGACAAAATGCGACATCACGGCGCCTACATCCATGTAGGTATTAAATGTGTGTAGATCGGCAATGCCCAAGCCCTATGCACTCGGTGCACATTTATTTTTTGTAAAAGTATTTATGTACCTACATAGTTTTAGGCTGTGTGTTCTAATATATACACACACAGCATTCCACGCGAAACTATACGAAATAGATGCACAAACATTTTTGTCTACTTCGCTTCTAATTTTTTTCATTGCGTATGCACAAGCACAAAGCAACAACACATGCGTATGCTTTGTTGGAACATATTGGCGCCAGTTACCTTCAGCGTAAATTTGGTTGTTGTCCTGCGTTTTATCGCAATTTTCGGGTGTCCGTTTCATTGTTACACAAATTTTCGGGTTAGCTGCGGGTTGGCTGCGGGTGTCCGAGTGTGTGTGTTCGCTTGTGCTCAATTTTTAGCGAGGGTGATCGAACAGGCTCGTTCGTACTCAAAGCAGCTCTCGGGTGTGCATCTCGATCGAACACATAGTGGCCGAGAGTGGCGTTCGCTTGTGCTCGATTTTTAGTGAGGGTGATCAAAAAGGCTCGATCATACCCAAAGCTGCTCTCTGATACATATGCGCCATATTAAAACACACCCCGTGCATCCGCCACACCCAAAACCCCCCGCTGGATCCGCCACTGACTCTAACATACATACAATGACAATGACAGAATTGTCAGTCTCGATCGAGCGATATAAATACATATACATATGTATTTAGTTTATGTATATATGCGCATTTATGCATATTTATGTATGTACTTTTATATAAATATGTATGTATGTACATATGTATATGAACCTAATGCTGAATGGTATTCACATATACTACTTATATGGATTGGATTTTATCTTTCAGTTCTTATTTCCTTCTATTGGCTTTTGTCAAGCTGTTATTTAGTTAGTCCTTTGTCTTTTGTGGTTGTTGCTCTCTTAGTAACGCATTTGTAAGCTACAATGAATTTACATGTGCTTAAACAATAGTTGGCCACAAGTGCCAACACAAAAAGATTATGCAAACCCCAAAGCTCAAAGATAAAGCTCAAGATAAAGATTTAAGGGATAGCTCAAGATGTCAATTCTATTGAGTCGACCACTGTTGAGTGTGCAAGGCAGCTTATTGTGTTCTTTGAAATTTTCTACTTAAATAGTTCTTCATGAATGCCTATTTTTTGGTATGTTAAAAGAATTCTATTCAACGAGAATTTTTTTACTAACTATTCGGCAGTCTATTAAAGATTTCGCGGCATAGTTAGTCCATATATACATTTTACGTTTGACGAGGGGATGAAATGGGGGTGGGGGATTGTGTATGTGTGTGTTTAAACAGATCACGTTTTCGATTTTGAAATTTACGTAAACTATTCAGGACATTCCAAAAGTTCATAAAGTTTAATTTGTTTTCGAAAATATTAATAAGATTTTTAGTAGCACGCTTCCAATGTTACAAAAAATTAAATGTACAATATATTGTACAAATCCAGGGAAAGAGTTAATATAGAAAGGCCCTAACTCATTTTCACGCGAAACTCAGCTTCGTAGAAAAGCCGGCAGACTGTTCAGTAAGGGGACCCAACAGAATTTACAGCAGCTACTACATCAATTAATTTGTTTCAGTGTGTATTATAAACCAACGTTTTGAAAGAATTTACAACTGAAAAACTTTAGTTTTTATATAGCTTTATAGCTACTCTGTAAAGAAATAAAAATGTGAGATAGGGCCTTTCTATATTAAGGTAACGATATGTATGTCCAACGAACGGAATTTTAAACAGCTTTATTTCGAAAACATTTTTGAAGAGTGTTACTACCTGCGTAATAAGTAAAATTCAATGAAATTAATAAGTTGAATAGAGTTTTATGCTATGGAAGTCAAGCGAAATTGGCTTAAGATAAATCTACTTGCAAAATATATTTAAAGAGAGCTGCCACCTGTTTATAGTGTCTCGAATTATTATTTTTTTCTTTCAATATAGATGAAATATAACAATACGGTTGACAAACGAAAGAGCTGCACAAATATTTTACTTCAGAGAAATCCTTGTTTAGAAAATTTCATGAATTCAATTTCTTTAATAACTTCACTGACATATTTTGCGCGCATAAACGATCGAGATTTTAAACAGCTTTATTTCTAAAATATTTTTGCAGAGGATTGCCACCTATGTAAGAAGTAAAATTCAAGGAAGCCAATACATTAAATGGAGTCTTATGCTATGGTTCTCAGATGGAAAAAGTTTGAGATACGTTTTTTTGTTTTTATTTTTTAAGGGAGTTACCACCTGTTAAAAAAGTCTAATTAATTTGCTTTATATTTGTTTAGTGACATATCATATGGGTGGCAATCGAAAGAGGCTTAAGACAGTGGATATAGAATATAGAGTTTCTCCCGCCAAAAGTTGTTTAGTTCTCATCTGTATTTGACACAGCGAATACTGAGCTAGAGGGTTTTTTTGACATCTAATATGGCACGTAAATAAATGATCTGCACCCTCCTCACTCTAGTCCGCTGATATTACCTTTTTGGAAGCCGAACTGTATGTTATAAGGATTTCCGGCTTCCTCGAATGCGGAAGGAAAACGAGATCCCAAGAATTTCCCCGAGAGTTAACCGCATTATCCAACAAGCACTTACGGTGCTCGAAAATTTGGTGAACGCTTGCTCTTGCTCATAAGCATGAGTTTGCCATTTTCCAGCAATCGTCCTTACATAGGCATTGTGCATGTTCAGGAGGTGCTCTGAATAACTGTTGGCTACGACTTTCAATATTTCTGTTGGTATCCGTCCATTACCGGTGCTTTTCATATTGCGTGAGATGCTTGCAGTTGCCTCCAATGTAAATGCGGAAGCTCCAGAAGGTAGCTCCGGGAGGTGGTTATGATAACTTGCTCTGCTGCCGTTACCAACACAGGTTCATTCTTGAGTGTCTGTAGTTTGCAATCCCCAAGAGTCATTGTAAAGGTCTTCCTGCAAACATTTCCTGCAGCTGCTCTTTTTCTGGCCTGGTGTAGTTGATGCTATGCCACGTAACAATCGTTTCGACTGCTCTCTCATCGATCCGCCTGAGGTGTAGATGTTTCCATCGCTGTGCCGCAACCTGCACTGTATACCAACACAAAAGGTGTGCCTTTTCATATGGTGCAGTTTTTTTCAGATCGGCGTCCCTGTAGGCCCGGTGGATTAAGTACATAGCAGATTTGACCGTAATATCTGTTAAGCTGGAAATCAGTTTTAACGACCTGAAAACATAAATAGTATAAGATGGAGAAAGAATCGAACCTGATCGACATATATTCGGGCATTGCGATGATGAAGCATCTGGATGACAGTTCGTTTTTTTAGAAACGAAGAAATAGATCTGAGAAGTTTTACACCAAAGAATTTCTGAGTAAGCAGGAGAGTGGAATATTGAAGCAAACAAAATAGTTCATAAAATGGCCCGATTTTCACTGTTTTGTAATCTACTGAGAATATTGGTGGCAGGTGAAGTAGGGGAGGAATTGAAGCTTCACTTTTTTCATGTCCATGTCTGAATCCTCAGTCTGGTAGTAATAAAAGATGTTAAAATATGTTATTTTAGAAAAAGTTTAATTTCAGTGTAAAATGTAATCTTAAACAAAAAATTTAACTACCAACATTGGCACACTCTTCTCATATTTCTCTCTCAATTTTCTCTCTCTCTCTCCCTCTCCCACCTCTTTCTCCACAGGTACATCTACGTCTGTCACGCTCCAATGGCACGCACTTGGTGCACAATGCCGCGCGTCAAGCGTTCTACAATCTATATCGCCATTGTCGCCTTCCTGCATCAGTTTTCACGCTTCTTTGATCGCACCTATATAGCGCTAGAAATCGAATGGAATGGACAAAAAACGGAGGTGTGTCGTGTGGCAACATCAAGATGGGTAACCGTTTATATCGGCGAAGATCTCTACTTCTCCATGTTCTTCCTTTTTCGAGTGATTTTCGTCCATATGATACCGTGCATTCTACTCGTTACGCTGAATGTTCTACTCTATCGAGCAATGAAGCAGGCACAAGAACGACGCAAAGCGCTCTTCCGTGACAATTACAAAACAGAGAGTCGAAAAGTACGTGACAGCAATTGCACCACTTACATGTTAATTACAGTCGTATCTGTCTTCCTTGCCGTTGAAATACCCATTGCTGTGGTGACATCGCTGCATATTGCCTCCTCATTAATGGGCGAATTTCTCAACTATCGCATGGCCAACATATCCATAATGTTCACGAACTTCTTCTTGGTTGTCAGCTATCCGATCAATTTCGGCATATACTGTGGCATGTCAAGGCAATTTCGTGAAACATTCAAAGATATATTCTTTCCAAGTTTTCTAACCAAAAAGGATACCTCATCCAAGTATTCAATTGTTAATGGACCACGTTCATGCACCAACACCAACGAGACTGTCCTCTAGTAAATGGTGATGTGGGTGCCGTTTCGTGGCGGTGGTGCACGCGCTGCTGCTGGCAATAAAAAATGGCGAAACGGTGCTATGGCAACAAAAGTGACGCGACAACCGCGTGCAAAAAGCGAATATAAAACGAATGTTGATATTATTGAGGAAGAGTCGGTGGTGGTGGTGGCTGCCGTGGATGAGGGCAAGAATGAAGTGAGAATGCTGAATGGAGAGAGGGAAAGTGGTAAAGTTTTAGTTTAAGTAAAGTAAGAGGTACTAAAGTGCATACAGTTATTTAGAGTGCATTTATTTTTACATAGATCCAGATGTATAGATAGGAATATGGTGGCATGGTATCTATTGAGTGTGAAAGAAATCTTTGTGTACAGTTTTCTTGTGATTGCTTTAAGTAAAACAAAAAAAAACAAGCTATGTAGCAAATAATGAAGTTGGTGTTTAGTCTACATACATACATATGTAAGTGCAAAGTTTCCAATAAGCGAAGTAGTGTTAATGCAGCGTTGTTCGTCTCTGTTTTTGCTATTAAACAACTAATTACTCATACGCCGTGTACAGCTTGATGATTGTATGTATGCATTAGGGATGTCAATTTTTCAGCTTTTTCCGATCCCGGGATTTCCGGTATGTCGTTATC